ACAGACTACCTCTATGCTACATACAGTCCCTGGTAAACACAAAATTTTGTACAGATCTAATCAAGTAACACCTGGGATATTAACCTGTTATATTTAATACCCTTTCATGCAATCTTACTCAGAAGAAATACATTCACTAATCCTAGTTCTCAAGTACAGTGTTATTGTGAAACATCTAAGAGCAATGAAAGCAAAATGAAACCACTTCAGTGATTAGCTGTTATCAATAATTAAACAATTTCTGAAGCACTTACCGACAGTGCAAGACTAAGGATGGATGTTGCATAGTTAAAGCTGTGGACTACTTTGTAGGAAGTTGTACTGTAGATCTTCACATGCCTACATAAAGCAGTGATGATTAAAAAATTTGTTATTAAGGCTTTACTGATGAAAATTCTGTTTTTACATTCTCACCTTTTAGGTAATCATTTCAGAAGACTGAATACATAAACAAAGCTTTTTTCCCATTACCTGGAAGCATCTTAGCTTTTACCTCTTCTGCAATGACAGAAAGTCTCAAAAAAAAAAAAAAAAAAAAAAAGATCCAGAAAAGATCAGAAAGTTTTATCTTTACGCCAAAAGATGAAAACAACACAAGGACAGAAAAACAAACTGAAGGCAGATGTAGCTGCAATCCGACTTCAGTAATGTTTATTACAAAACATTAGGACAGTATTTCCTCCAAACTGTTCTTAAGTTTTAAATGGAGGATTTTTTGGCAATTTCTGGAAGTAAGTTCATGCATATTCTTGCATCCTGCTGCCCTTTAGTGATTTGATTGACGGTGAGAAGAAATTCACAAGTTGGGAAAAGAAAAAACAATGATCCTGAAACAAGTATGAGCTCTGCTGTTAGGAGCACTGTATGACAAATATCTACATGGCTGGTGTGATCCTTCACACCTCATGCTTCACGACTGACGGCTTGAGGAAACCCACTGCACTCCCTGTTGTACTTTCTGGAGAAGCAAGCTAACAGACCGCTGTCATTTCAGACCACTTCATATTTCTGATATGTCAGGGACAACCGGTTGAATATCTGAACTCAGCAATAGAATTTAAAAAACAAAAACAAAAAAACCCAGCCTTACAAAGAAGAACATAATGTACCTCTGCACCACCTTGAGTACACTCCTGTTGACAATCTCATTTCAAGGGAGACACAATATATGTTTTTAAACAAATTACACCCCTAACAGCTAAAAGGGTTCAAGCTTAAACATGTACACAGCTTCAGGCTGATGTAGAATTCTTTCCAAAGGGGAAAAAAAAGTCTAAAAAATTTAAATCACAGAAAAGTCACAAAACATACTAACCTGTCCAGGGATCCTGACAGTAACCTTTGTCCAGAGCTGTTCAGGCACAAGCAAGTTACGGTCTTATGATGATTTTTAAGTGAAACTAGTAATTGTCCACCCTTCAGAACATCCCAGACTTTGACATATCGACCTCCTATGAGAAAGAAGCACACAAAAGAGCTGGGCAGACACACAGAAATTTATGCTTGTCTGAAGTTTTCACACAGTGATACAGTGCCACCTTTGCAGCACAGAGGTTTCTGCACCTACTCACCCTCCCAGTCCGTTCCTGACTACCTTCTGGGACAAGACATGTTACTGTCTGCCTTTTTTTTTTTTTCCAAGGTCATTCTGCAGACACAACTGAATGATTCAACATATTCTCTACAAAAAGGATTTATGTGCCACTGGATCATAAGACCCCTCATGCAACAGCAAGAAGAGAATAAAAGTACCTGCAGACACTAGAAGACCTCCAGAAGGGAAGAGAAGCACACTCTCCACAGGATGGCCATGTTCTATCGTCATGACACTGCTCTTTGTTCGTGCATCAAATACCTTCACAGTGTGATCATAGGAACCTGAAACAACACCATAGCTGGTTTCAGTTACATAATTTCAATTACTTCAGGAACTAAAACAGCCACATGCTACAATTTAAAGGAGTTCCTGCCAAATGGAAGCAGCTTTAAACCATGCATGTAAAAATTCTAGTGGTTACTCAAGTTAATATACCAGAAAAACCTAGCACCTTGTGACCTCTAAAGTCAGAAAAATCTAGACTTTTTCGTACTACTTTAATTTACAGTTTCAGTACAAATTAATAAAAAGTTGCTGGTACGAAAACCAAAAGCATCTGCTTTTAAATACTCCTCATAGGACTTTGTCATTTCTGAGTCTGCAAGTTTTAAGGTGTACAAACCACAGTGTTATTCTGAAACATCACAAAACACCAGATTCAGTGAAAGCACACATTCACAGCTTTTCTTAAACTTTCAAAAGCAAGTCAGAACAGTCCCATTAACCTTAGCAGGGTATAGCAAGATGTTTAACAGTTACAGTTCCCCTACAAACATCAATATTTGGCTTGAAAAGCAAGCAAAAGAAAAATAACACATTAGGCCCCGAGCTGGAAAACACATTCTTCATTTTTAAAATAAAATAAACATGATGCTACTGTTATGTATTAAAAGCTTCCTGCGTTTAAATTCTGTTCTAGCCAGAAGAAACATATATGAAAAAAGAAAACCAAACCTGTTATAAAGACATCTCCATTCAGTTTACTTGCACAGCCACATCTCACATAGTCACTATGCTCACTGTAGGACACTATTTCTGCAGCACTCGGAATATCCCACAGCCTCGAGGAATAATCATCGCCACCAGAAAATATTCGGTACTTATCAGACAGGAAGCCCACCACGTGAACAGCTCTAGAAACCAAAGTCCAGAACATCCAAAGTTAAAATATTCTGTCATTTCCATAACTCTGCATCAAAAGCTTGTTAAAGGAAGGCATTCTCTCTAGCCTGAAAGCACAAAACATTTGCTACTGGAAGCTGCAGACCCTCACTTCAGCAGTTAAGAACTGTTTAGGTTTTATAGTTTCAGCCAGGAAAGGATCTTTCATCTTGGATCACACCAGATGCACATGAAAAGTTTTAGAGGACTACCGTCTGCTTGCTCAAGAGATGTAAATCCTATATTTGTTACTTAGAGGTCTGTGAGCTAGCTTAATCCTTTAGACCACATTTACAATATTGAGCTTTAAGTAAGACAAGGTTGGACACTTCGTGGCCCTTAAAATCACTACTGGAATTACTAATATAACAACAGAGAATGATTTCAACAAATAAAACAGGTTAACCTAACTATAATAAAATCTGTGATACCTAAGAGTCACAACATAAAGCAATATCTTATCTAAAAGCAGAGAGCTCAAATGGAAATACAGTCTCAAGTTCTCTGTGGGTACTCTCCTGAGGGAGTTTGATTGTTACTTTCCATAAACACAAGTCACTCACAGGTCTTGAAAAGGCAGCAATTTGTCAAATCAAAGTATTACCACTCTTTTCTATCTGGAACATTGGAACTCCTCTTCCAAATTTTTCCCCACCCAGATGTGTTGGTTTTTGGTTTTTTTTTTTTTTTTTGCTGCTTTGATTTTAAGTGAAAAAAGTGCACTTTTTATAACTGTTCCTCCTAGCAACAAATAAAATTTGTCTGTCAGCACATGCAGGCATGAGACTACATCTATGCAACACACTAACAGACATCTCCCTGAATTAGAGTACATACTTATTCTTCCATGTACTCAAGTCATACTAAGAATGAAAAACAACGCTGTCACTGCAATTCATAACTCGATTTTAAAATCTATTTTTCAGTAATACGTGCAACAGTTGCAAGCATCTGATTAATAGTGCTCAGATTTTTAGCAACGTGCAAAGCAGACGTATGTAAACACACAAAATAAATTTATACATGCAAAGAGCAAGACTTACTTTGTATGACCATCAAATTGCCTCAGGGGTGCCCTTCCACTAATATCAAAGAGGCGAATGCTGCCTTCCTCGCTGCCAGCAACAAGCAATTTTCCATCATCCCTGTACGTGGCACAATAGGCGGCATCTTTGAAGCGAGAAAATGTCTTAATTGGTTCCTGAGAATAGCGTCCATAAATGTGGACCTAGCAAAACAAGAAGACATTCTCTTCACACAAGGGGCATCAGTTGAAAAGAAGCAACATAGCAACCTTACAGACAGCCACTCACCCTCGAGGACGCTGTGACAGCGTAGTTATACGGAGGAACTGGAGAGAAGTCTATTTTATTTATTGCACCAAACTCCTTAATCTGAACAGGTGTCTAAAAGAATCAAAATAAAGACAATTAAATACACATCGGCACACCATCAAAAATGACAACAGTGTAAAGAAATCTCTTCTTGCCGCTGAGCTTAAAATGCAATTGGGAACAAAATTATCTATGAAGCACCATCCTGTTTTTCCCTAGGCTGTTTCTGCTTTCGTGCTCTTCACACATTATAACCGACCCATTAATTACATACTTTGTCTGAAAGGGAAAAAAAAAAGAAAAAAAAAAAAAGTTCTATTCACTCCCAGTACTCCGCTTACTCCAACAGAAGCAGTAAGAAATACTTTAGGACAGCCAGGACTCCCGCAGCCCAGCCCGTGATACAGACTGCCCCAGCCGCGCACGGAGGCGCCCAGCTTCCCTACGCCACGAGCGCGGCCTGGCCAGCACGCGGGGCAGGCGGAGCCAGCTGCAGCCCCGCGCTGACGGAACGCGACCGGCGCTGCCCCGGCTCCGGGGCCTTCCCACCTTGTACCCCCTCCAGTACAGCGTGTCTTGCGTGATCTTCTCCCCGAGCTTTGGCACCGCTGGGATCGCGACGGGTTTGTAGGATGCCATGACTGAGCCGGAGAAGGAGCCGGGAGGAGAAGGGAGGTCTCCGAGCGTAACGCCGAGGTGCTGCGGAGGAGCGATGTGCGCCGGGAGATGTGGGACGCGCCGCCTCAGAGCGCAAGGAGCAGGCCGCGCCGCGCCGCCATGCCTACCCTCGCAACGCCTCGCGGACAGGCAGCACTTCGGCGGGAGACTGCGTCATCGGCGGGCGCCGCCACCTGGCCAATCGCAACGCTGTGAGGCGGAAGTGGCGTATTACCCCACCCAATGAGGCGGAAGTGATGCCTCACCGTCCTGAGGGTGGTAAGACGCCGCTTTCTCCTCGTCGCGGGAGGCTGCGCGGGGAGCACGGCCTCGGCCTCGCTGGGGTCCTGTCGCAGCTTTCCTCGAGGCCTTCCTCCGGCTGCTTCCCTGCCGAAAAGGGCCCGTCGTCTGCTGGGGCGTGCGCTGGGGCACCCTTGTTTCTGTACGGTTAGCTTCGGTGGTGTATCGTGAAGGAGTAGAGTCGTTTGTGTTCTCCTTCAGGTCTAACGCTGAGAAGACAAAACCTGGTTCACCGCTCGACGCCTGTCTTTGCTTAGGGTGAGTAAGGGTGGATGCTGTTGTTCTTCGCCGTTTTTGTCTTGTTTTTGTTATAGACAGACTGACATCTAAATTCAGCTGGAACATCCACTTGGTCAAAAGCTTTTGGGTGTAGTAGCGTTGGGATTTCTAAAGGGTTTAACTACCTAAAGCAAAAATAAACCTAAGCGATGCGTGCACAATGTATTTTTGTGTGTCACTTCACCAGTATCTTATCTGTGTTTGATTGCAGGTAGGATCTCCTTGGAGCTTGGCTGACCAGGGCTGCTCTTGGCTGGAAACCATGAGGAAATACTTTCCATAAAAGTGTCACGCAACTGAAGCCATGGCATCTTCAGCTAACTTAGACACCGGGGCCCAGCTAATTGTGGAAGAGTGTACCACTAGTTACAGCCTTCCACCCATGCCAGACATCAAGGTGGAGCACCAGCTTGACTCCAGCACAGAGGAGGGCCCATCCCAGAGTGTGGCCATGGGCATGAAGTTCATTTTACCCAATAGATTTGATATGAACGTCTGCTCGCGATTTGTGAAGTCTCTGAATGAGGAGGACAGTAAAAATATTCAAGACCAAGTTAACTCTGACCTGGAAGTGGCATCTGTCCTGTTTAAAGGTTGAACTTTTATGGTACAAGTTGTTATGTCCAGACTGTCTCATCATGCTCTGTTTTTTAAAAAGCCTGTGCCATGTATGTGTGTTAATCAGTAATAGTTTCTAAGATATTTTCTGCTAGCTTTTTTTTAATAAGCTTGATGGTTTATTACTGTATAATTCATTTCCCTCAGGATTTTTTGTGTCGCAGTTTTAGGTTTGTTGGTTTGGTTTTTTAATCAAGAAAGTTGAAGAAGTAACAGCACAAAAAGCTTTTAATTCATAAAGAGCTGATGCGGATTTTAAAAACAAGGTTATTTCTGGTAGCAAGAGGAAAGTCTAAGATGAGCTATACCATGTTGAATGTATATGTCTTTATAAAACCTTACTTTTCTTTCCACTACTACAATGACAGAGTAATGTCAGTGATGCAGTTGACTTTGTCATACCCATACAGCTTGTAGTCACTGCAGTGATCATCTTGTTGATTCAGTTTGAAAGTGAATGCTGCTACTGTTCTGCAAATTGTTCCCTGCAGCTGTTCTCTAACCACTTCTGTCCAGTTTCATAAGAATTGATCTGTGCTCTTTAACGACAGAGCGTATTGATGGGAAAAATAATTTTTAAGAATTCTGTTTACCCTTAAAAAGTGTGCTTTTTTTCAGTGTTTGATTCAGTATTCTGGACTCCGAGTAGTTTGTCATGTCATTATGTTTAATTTTACACTTTTTCTGTAACGAATACACAGACCTACTATGGGTTTCCATGATTTCTCTGTGTTTAAAGGCCCTGAATGCTTTCTAGCGGAGCTGCAGACTTGTACGAGAAATTTAGACCCATCAGAAGTAGGGTTGTTTTTCTTAGATAACAACTGTGAACCTTTTAGAAATAGTCCTGCAGATCCAGGGTCAAAAATCACTTAATTTGATAACTTCTGCTGTAGCTGCTTGGCAAACAAAGTGGAATTTTGAATGTATCCTGTTACCCTATTCTTACTGGCTCTCTTATGAAATTTGTACTTGGATTTATGACCACAAGGTTCTCCATACAATGAATTCTGTGTGCATGTCGATTAGTTTCCTGTCACTAATTACTAATTATAAAGAGTTTAACCCTTTAATAATTGGCTTCACAGCCACTTCTGTTGCATTTTCTCTAAGCTAGTTTGGAATATATCTATTCCTGATGGATAAACACTTATAAGACATCAACAATGCAGTTATTTTATCTGACAGGAGTGGAAGAAGTCTTGGTGAAGACTCTTAGTTGCTACAATATTCGCACTGTATTCTTTGCACTGGAGAGTGCTAGTGAGTGTACTGAATGCCAAGGAGTACCTGATAAATCCATGCCAGATATGTTGGAGATCTAGGCAGAGAGTTTCCTCACTTAGACAGCAAATTGTCTCTGGTGACATGCCATACTTAAATGTGGGATACTAGCACTGTTTTATGTTTTATATTGAAAACAGCTCTTTGTTCAACTCACATAGTACACAGTAGAAAAAGCACATGCTACATAGATCATGTAGTGTGTGTTTGAAAGATCTTACTGTGTTGGTGCTTTCTGACTTGATCAGAATCTGTGGCTTTGATTTAATTCTCTTCCTGGTACTAAAATTATGTCTGTTTTCTCTAATGTAGCTGAATGCAACATCCGTACTTCTCCTTCACCTGGTATCCAAGTAAGACATGTTTATACTCCATCAACTACTAAGCATTTCTCACCAATAAAACAGTCAACTACCCTAACTAACAAACACAGGGGAAATGAAGTCTCTACAACACCTCTGCTTGTAAACTGTAAGTATCCTTCTGCCCTTCAGCTAATAATTCTGTTGTGAACTGCAAGTTCACTCAGCTTGCCGAGTTTTTTCCTTTTTTGTTTTTTCCCACTTGAATAGACTTTAGTGTAGGAAGAAAACATTGTTTGATGTCACAGTGTTCCAGCCTGTTTTGAGTGCATAACTGAAGTGTATTTTCCAGAAAACGGTCCAGTTCTTGATTTGAAAAGCAGAAACAGTGATTTTTCCGATCCTCTTGGAGCTTTAAGCTTTTGTGCCTGATTTTCAGATTATTTTCAGATTATTTTATTTAATTATTTTCAGAACTTATGAAGCTTAATTGCTCCAGACTGCTGCAAACATCATAGTTATCATGCATCTTGAAAATCAAGAAGACACTATTATTCAAGGGTTTTTTAATGCTTAGTTTCAGGCTTTTTCTCTATAGCCAACTTCTTTAAGATTTACTTTACCTCTTATGAACTACTGTCTTTTTAAATTACTTTTAAATCTTCAGTGTGCATCCTTAAACTGAGTAAGGCCAATTTAAATAAATTGGGAAAAGTAGATCTTGACATAGACCTCAGCCTGGCTAAAACAGGTAGTCTGTCAGAAAAAGAAATCAAGCTTTCATGCACTGATCAGAGAGAAAAAAAAAAAAAAAAAAAAAGATGGTATATTTACATATTATGTAATCATTAGCTGATTTTCTTATTGTGTAGACCTGAGATCATTTATTGTGTATATTTCTTCCTGAGCATCTTTCAGATTTGCCCCAGGTTGTGATTGTCAGAACCATGCCCTTGTGCAGTATTTACTATGGGATCAAAGAGTTCTCTTTCATAACTCCTTAAAGAGTTCTGCTGTCTTTATGGCTTGGCACTTTTGATTAAAAACAAAAAAACTCACTACTTTATTCTTCCTTGGTAGGTGTCGTGTTGTACAGAGTTCTGTAATGTCTGCTCTGTCCCACCTTGTAGCGAATAAGAGTCATGTTTGGGTTTTCCAGATATTTTGTGGTTTCTTCACACAATAAATGTCATTTGTAAATTACACAATCATAAAATATCAGAATAAGTTTGTTTCAATTTGATAAATGTTCTTAATATGCTCTGGGTTGCTGACCAAAAATGGGAAAGGGTAGCACATTGCCTTCTGAGAAGCCAATGTAAAGAACCTTTTACCATAATTTCTACATTAATTAAAAAACTATGGAAACTTATGAAATTATTTGGAAAGGTCTCACATTTTATGATAATGATTCAGAGTAAAAGGTGATATATATCTACGCTGTCATGACTGGACTCTGTATAGTTCAAGCCAATGGATGTTCTATGCCCACCTCCAAACATCAGAATGAAAACTGATGTCTGTATCACCTCTTCTTGCTTTCTTTTCTGCAGCTTTATCAGTTCACCAGCTGGCTGCTCAGGGAGAAATGTTGTATCTGGCCACACGTATTGAACAGGGTGAGTCTGAGGAAAGGTTAAATACCTCCCTCTTTATCTCGTGCACTTATATCCTGCTACACTCAGCTTTTTCTCAGAAGATGCATTAAAGAGATCTCCAAATCTGATACGATTGAGAGTCCCTTCCAACTTTTGACTTTTGAGATACCTGTTCTTTGCAGGTGAACTGTTGTTTTCTATGACTCTCGTTTCACTCAGTGCTTTGATTTGCATTTAAAATGAAACATTAACATTGATGGAAGTTGAGAAATCTGTTATTTTCCTTGCTTCCGGTACTGTGGGTGATCTGTAAACTTTTAAGAGAATGTTAGTTCTATCAAAAGAGGTGAAGTTGGCTTGGTTTTCTTGATTTTTGTTGTTGTTATTTATCATTTAAATGCATACTGTTAATTGAAGCTTTCTGATTCTATTTAATTGATCAACAATAGGGAACTGTATGTTGGGAATTTAAGCTATGGATCAAGCTTGCTATATAAGAGCACTCATTCCAAGTTGTACTGTATTCTTCAGCATGATAGTTGTGTCTATAGTACATACAGAAAATTTCAACCTTTATATCTGTATTACATTGAATTGAGTACTGTTCACAACGTATGCTTACTCTGTTATTCATAACCAGGCTTGTTTTCAGTCCTTCTGTTAAAACTTTCACAGAAAGCAAGAAGTGAATATCTGAGTGTGTATACCTTCTCAGTGAGTTGTCTATCTGGAGGTCAAATTGTTTTTTGAATTGTTAGTAATCGATAAAAATGCTTATTGTGGTGCTACAGTAAGAATGAAAATTTAAAGGATTTAAATCCAACTAATTCAATTGGCTGCTTAAGAAGCTTCTTTACTTTTCGAACAGGACTTATCTCCAAATATGGAACCCATATTAGAGGCAACTTAAAACTTTTTCTGAGTAAAAACAGAGCTGGGTTTATAGAACCTAAAAACAAAAACTCAGCTACTAAATTTTACTTTAGTCTTTTTTTTTTCCCCTTGGACAAGGATATTTTCATCACCACTGTTATAGAAATTTATTTTTAAAGTTAAAATTTGAGTGACTTTAGAACATGCTCCTACCTCAGTTCATTCACAATGGATATGACTAAGCATTCATTCTACCATATATTATGAAAGGGATTAATAAGTGGTATATTTTGCTTTGAACAGAAAATGTAATCAATCATAAGGATGAAGAAGGATTTACCCCTCTGATGTGGGCTGCAGCTCATGGGCAGATAGCAGTGGTGGAATTTCTCCTCCAGAATGTAAGGAAAAAGAGCACACTTCATTTTAAATTTCTTGATTTACTTGGTAGTTTATTTTCCCAAAGTTTTGTCAGTTCCACTATATGTTTAAAACTTGTAAAGTTCTCTGTAAAATCTCACTTCAAAACAAATTGGTTAGCTTTCTTTTTTTTTTCCTTTTTTTTTTTCCCCATTACTTCAGGGTGCGGATCCTCAGATTCTGGGGAAAGGGCGAGAAAGTGCCCTCTCACTGGCTTGCAGCAAAGGGTACACAGATATTGTGAAAATGCTGCTTGACTGTGGAGTTGATGTCAATGAGTATGACTGGGTAAGTCTCTAGCTTGAATTTACATCAGCGTATGCCTGGTCAGAACTTTGAAGCAGAGCATTGGCTTGGATTTTAAAACTGTTCTCCCAAACTTACATAGGATGTTCTTTGATAACATAAAAGTTGGTGCTGCTAATTCTGACTTATTGGTAAAAAAGAAAATGAAACTAATGCTGAGTCTGATTAGAGGCATGAGAGTATAATGTCACTGTTAGCTGAAAAAAGATGGAAGTTTTAGAGAACTAAAACTGATAACCTGATTTTTGTGTAAAACTCATGAAGTCTTGTTCTGATATCATAGAATGGCCTGGGTTGAAAAGGACTCAAAGATCATCTAGTTTCAACCTCCCTGCTGTGGGTGGGGTTGCCAGCCACTAGACCAGACTGCCCAGAGCCACATCCAGCCTGGCCCTAAATGCATCCAGGGATGAATGTGTGATATATGCAACTATACTGGTATGCTAAGGACTTAAAATTCCAGGCCACTCAATTGCTAAGTGTCTAAGGCTCTTTACTGCTTTTGCAGAATGGAGGTACGCCTCTACTGTATGCAGTGCATGGGAACCATGTGAAATGTGTAAAAATTCTTCTTGGTAAGCAGCCTATCCAAAATGAATTACTGAATGGATGTGTTACCAGTTCTTACTGTCAAAAATCTGACTTGGTTTTCTTTTCGTGTTTTGCATAGAAAGTGGTGCTGATCCAACTATCGAAACAGATGCTGGCTATAATTCCATGGATTTGGCTGTAGCCTTGGGCTATCGGAGTGGTAGGTATTGCAAATGTACATTCTTTAATTTTTGGTTTTGCTGCTCCTTCCTCATGCAGCTGTGGTAGTGGCCTAATAGAGTTTTATTAGTTACAAAGCTGAAAGAAAATCCCTATTCTCAGAGCCTTAACACACCTAAATATATCAGCATAAAATTAGTACTTTTCCTTATTGGTTCAGAAAGCCAAGTCCCTGATGAGAGAAAATGGCACTAGTGTGAATCTACATCTGTGGGCATGTATAAGGGAGCGTGTAGGTCTGTTGCAGTCATAATCCAGTCAGGGAGAGATGAGCTGCTCCCCAGCCCTGTGCAAGGACTGTGAGTTGTACTGGACAATAATAACAGTGCATCCAGCCCTTCCAAACCACTCAACCCAGTGCACTGTTTCATTGGTGTGAGATGCAGTTGGCAAAACTTCTTGCTTGTACTAGCTCTGGTTTGCCTTGAAGGCAGACATAAAGAATGAAGACATTAATGAAGTAGGCTACCCTATTTGGCTCTGGAAGATAAAGAGGCAAAGATTGGATTCTTCACAGATTTATTTTTTTTTCCCCTCGTGATGCCTTCAGTTTGAAAGCTGTGAAGTATCTGTTGTTACACAATCTGGAACTGAATCTAAAATAAGCCAGAACTGCACATGTTGCTCTTCCAAACAGAGTCCTAATACACATGTGGGGGAGCCAGTAACTTCAGAGGTATTTAGATGTAGGGCTCCTTCAAGAGTTCAATCTCAAAATGCTTAAGAGATGTAGTTTCCAATAAGCCATTTATACATTTTGAGATTTGCTTGGCATATGCCTATTCAACCAGAGAACAGATCATCATCCCCATCTGCCTTCAAACTATTTACATTGTTTTTTATTATATGAGGTGCTTCTTTTCTGAAGGAATGTAAACTGCCTTCTCAGAGTGAATTAATTCCTGTCTGTCAGTATCTGCCAGAAAAGCAGTACAGACCTTAAAGACTTGAAAAAACATTGAACCCTGATTAACCCAAATCATTTCTTGGCTTTAGTTCAACAGGTTATTGAGTCTCATTTATTAAAGCTACTTCAAAGTATCAAGGAATAACAGCTGGTTCTTTCATGGCTGTCAGTTGTCGTCTTCGAGGTTTTGACTCCATTTTAGCCCCGTAATCACTGAAAAGAGGTGTTTGTTTTGTAAGTTTACCTCAGTTCAGCTATTTGCTGGTTTTACTTAAGCCAGGCATGTCCAACCTGTGGCCTGCCCCCTGCCCCAGACCATCATGTCAGTGGCTCTGTCAAACAGTATTACCGTGCTCTATGTATTGGTTGTAGTCTCCCAGAAAATAAATAGGATACATTACTTTTGAAACAGACTACGTATTTGCATCCCAAAATAATTCTTATTCACCCAGTTTGACCCAGACAAACCAACAGGTTGGACACCCATGACTTAAGCTTTTAAATATGCTTTCTCTTTCATAGAAAAATGTGACGTCATCCTTTTCTTAAATGTATTTTATATAACCTTGAAAGAAAAGGTCTGTTCTCAAGCATGAAAAACTGAATGAAACCTGTTTTCACCCTGTAAGTGTTCACGTTGTGCACTGGACAGCACAGTGCCAAGAGTTCTCCTTGTTCCTGTCATTGATCCATATTCACAGGAAGATGATTGTTTAGATACTGAGGTATGTCACCATAGAAAAAAGACTTTTTTACTTTGAGTAGTATCCAAATGTGTGCCATGTGTGATTGTTCTCAAGATCTTCAGCTAATATTATTGTGTCAACTATTGTCTTTGTATGATTTTTTAAGAAGTTAATAAATTTAATGACCTTGGTGGTAGTTTTGATTCCTGGTGGATTTATTTTCATATCCTGCCTTCTTCTTGTATTCATGGAACAGCTGGACCGAAGTGTTCTTCATATTAACTTCCCTGGTATAAGAAAGTCCAAGTGCAGAATATTTAGCTCCTAAATATCCTCCCTGCACTGGCTGAGCAGAAGATATCAACAGTGTGGGTAAAGAAGCCAGAACCTACTGCAGTCCAGCTGCCTTCAGCTGGTGTGGCACTTTCCTTATCCTGATGTAGCTGCTTGAGCTAGAACAGCACTATGGATTTGAACAGTTGAAAAAGTAGGTAATGTTAAATGATTTCCTGAGACCCCACACTTAGAACTACACTAGAGTGATGAACGCCTTCTAATTTTACACATATAATGAAAAAAACTTTTTAAATAGACTTCAGAAGTTTGTTTTCCAAGCACTTAGTAATTGTGTCCACTAGAGGTCTGTCACCTGTACGCACAAATGCACCTCTGAGCCCCTCCTTTCTTTCTCAGTCAATTGGTAATAAACCAAATTTAAAATTTGCCTTCCAGAAGCAGCTCAAAAAAACATCAGTGGATCCAGGTAATTTACTAACTGTATTTCTGGCATTGTTTAATTCTTCTATTTGAAACTCATTCCATACACAAATGGAAACCATACTATTTACAGCACTGTGATCCCAAGCAAAGTACTGGAAGGCAGAGGATTGTCCAGCTAGGTTCTTTGGGACTAAACTCCCCCCAAAAAATATTCCAAATGCTGGCTTTGTTATTTCAACACATTCCCTAGGGGCCAGTATTGGAGCAAATCCTGATCAGTATCTTGACAATTTGGATGAGGGAATGGAGTGCACCCTCACTATGTCACTTCCACTAAGCTGAGTGGAAGCGTCAATCTACCTGAGAGTAGGAAGGCCCTACAAAGGGATCTGCAATGATGGGCGGAGGCCAACAGGATGAAGTTAAACAAGACCAAGTGTTGCACAAACTCTTCCCGTGGAAGATTTTTTTTTGGGGGGGGGGGAGGAGGGGGAACACACAAGACCACAAGTCTTACAGGGAGTGGCTGAGGAAACAGACTGTTTAGCCCAGAGAGGAGAAGATTCAGAGGAGACATTACTGCTCTCTACAGTGACCCGGTTGTGGTTGTGGCGAGGTGGAGGTTGGTCTCTTCTCCCAGGTTACATTGGTGGAACAGTGACAGACATAACGGCCTTAAATTGCATCTGTGGAGATTCGGGTTGGACATTAGGGAAAATTCTCAGAAGGAGAAGCAAGGTACTGGAACAGGCTGCCCAGAGAGGTGGTGGAGTCAGCATCCATGGAGGTGTTTAAGGAAAGGGTAGATATTGTACTCAGGGACATGGCTTGACATCTGTGGCAGGTGGATGGTTGGACTGGAAGGTCTTAGAGGCCTTTTCCAACCTTGATGATTTTATGATGACTGAATATACAGTAGGAGAAAACGTAGGGAAAACAATGTGGATTAATTCGTGGCCTAGTTTCTCTTTGTAGTGAGACTTGTATGATGTACACAAGATGCATATGAGTTCAGAATTAACCTCTGAATTGTGTTTTTTTTTTGGGAGAGCCAATCATGAGGTCCATTTATTTCCTAAAGCTGAAATCTAAAATGTAAAGAAACATTTAAAGAAAATTTTGAAGGAAGAAAATACAACTGATCGTGGAAGTGTTGGTGAAACCTCTGCTACACGTGTACTCTTCCCTTTTTTATGTAGGATTATTAGCAGTTCTATCGTATTATGCTCCAAAGTATGATTTAACCAAATTAAATACTGTTAATCTGATGTGGTTTGAAAGCAAAGAGAAAGATTGTTTCGTAATTGAAATCTAGAAGGAAAAAAAAAATTAATAGGTTGCTCTGAAAGCAACATGTCCACAGAACTACAAAGAGAACAGTAACACTATCACGCAGTAAATTCTCAGCTATAAAACACTACTTTTTTAACTAGTCACCACCATGAGCTATGCATTTTCATCAGTGACAAACAAAAGGCTCCATACTGTGCTCACAAAAATGTGCACCAGTGGAGGCGACCACTGTCACTGTCATCACTGCTGAAACACACCACCCACATCTCACTGTGCTCCCATCCACTGTTTGATCTCCAGAAACATTCACTAAGTGTCAATGAATGTCAGTGGGTGCCACTTTTTCTGCATGGGAGAATTCAATTCTGCACCTTTGCTTCGGACACCAACATAATAAAATAGGAGGCATTACTTTTGGAGCAGAGCAGTTACTGCAAAGTTGCATATTGGAAACACTGAGATTTAATGGTCTGTGTAAAAATAAACTTTGAACTTCTGTATTTGTTGAAACGATAAAATGCAAACTATTTCTTACAGTATCATAACTCAGCCTATTTCTAAGACATCCTCTGTAAAATCATGGTATTTAGTACTTAAGTGTCTGTAAGGAATAAAACTTCCTTCTTCATCATTTGTGTTAAGGGAAAGTAGTTGTTCTAGATGATGAACATTTAGTACCTGCTTTGTATTTTGTCTTAACCTTCAGTCCACATTGAGTTTATATGAAATAGATTGACTAATAGTTATCTATTACTTGAAAATGTATCCTAGAAATTTTTTTTTTCACATAAGATGGAAAAATAGAGGAATGTGGATTAAGATAGTAAAATATAAATTTTTCTTGCCTACTCTTTTTTTTTTTCCTGTAGAATTTCAAGCATTGATATCAGACAATCTCTAAGCATCTCACAGAAAATGGTTGCAAGGGTGAAAGTGGTTGTCCCTTCAAAAGATCTTTTCCTGCATTAAGAGCCCTTTCCATAGCATAACATTGTTCTGCTAAAGCAGTGAACATCAAAGTGAACTTTCCTGTGGCCTTTGTGAGGATCTTATGGGGAACGACTGACTATTTCATAACCAGATTTTGAAGTATCAGCCTGCTGGTTCTCAGTGAGCAGTTGCCACAGCTGCTGGTACAGAGAGAGGATATCAGGAGTTACCTTGGAACCACCGGAAGCCTTGGGTCTGGGTGCTGCACAGCATTTCCTCACTGCAGCATGCCACAATACCTGAGGAACTAGAAACTTCTGAGATCAAAATTTGTTTCTCTGCAAGCCTCTTGCTCAAACTCATTCCCCGAGGTAAATTCTTATGGGAGTATTAAAATATTTACATTTGAAGGTGAATGATAGCGAGCTGCATTTCAAATTACTGACAAACAAGTTGTCTTTTCTGATTAAGGAAATTATTTTTTGCAACATTCAGCGTGCAGTATGTGACCACTGAGCTAAAGAACTGTGCCTCCCAAAGCAGATTCCCTAACACAGTTTGATGTAGTAATAATAGCCAAATACTTCAGAGCTGCGTAAAGTCCTTGTCTCATTCACTCACATGATGTTGCAGGTTACTGTGGTCTGTTTCACAGAGAGCGTACGCAACAGATGAACTTCAGCCTGCAATGCAGTGGGCAGGATGCTTATCACAATCAACATTCAGTTACAGCTGCTTCTGTCTGAAGTAGATTGGAAACCATACAGTGAAGGCAGACCACCTTTATCTGTCTGGCAGAGAAGTAAGTGAGAGCCAAAGAAGAAAGCATTTCAGTTAGAGGTACAAATGGGAATTTCTCCTGCCAAGGAGAAAACAGAACTTTACACATTAGAGCTCAGGGAAACTGCTTTCTCACAAGCAATAGTCAAGACGGATACTGAAGAACAACCAACAAAGACAGCAAAGAACATAAGCAAATTGTTCGTGTTTGATTAAAAGAAGCCAAGATTATATCTCTAAGGTGATTTATAAAGGAACACAAATTTAGATCTACACATCTCCATCCACGCAGTTGAGTACTACGCCAGCATTAATATTTGCATGTGAATTTGATGAGCGCTTTGTAATGCTCATCCTTGCCTGCCCTGTTTTTCCTCCAAGACCAGTCGCCAGTTCCATACTGTTGCTCTTTGTTCACCTTGCTCCCTGTATTCCCCACTCAAAGTTCTGAGATGATCATTGCAGAAAGCTGCAACCTTCTGCCAGACCTTCCCAGAGTGAGGCCTCATCACTCTTCTTCCTCCCATAGGTTCTCCCTTGGTTTAAAATGTCATCAGCATCTCACGCTGTCCTCATATCCCTAGAGAGCTGGTGGTCACAGTGAGGAGCCAAGGGCAGGACAGGATGGACCTTGTCACAGTGATCACCTGCTCTGGGCCCAGGGACAAACACTGCCTGTGATAGAGGGTCTCTGTGTCACCTTCCTTCAGATAGAACACAGCAAGTGGTACCAAGAGGATACTCCTGCAGAAGGACACACTCCTGCTACCTGGCACTAAATGCAGAGTCATTACTTCAAACTCTTCAGCAAAACAGCATTCTGTCCAGGGAAGGTTGTTGCTCCCAGATAAGCAGGACATCTGAAGTTTCAAAGCACAGTTTCAACATTCCACAAGCCATGAGGAGGCACACTGTCTCCTGCTAGGGCTAGGCACCATAACAGTGCTGACATGCTAATTAGAACTTATTCAGCAGACATACATATTTGGGAAGGAGAAATTCTATTTGTAATCACTGTAATGGAATTAAGTTTGTGGTGCATTTTGCAAGAGGAAGCTGAGCATGAGGGGCATTCCAGCGGAGATTCTCCTGGGCACTGTGGACCATATTTTTTTCCTTAAGAACAATGGTATAAATCACTGCAGTGCAGACAGGGCTGTCATTAGGCAGATCATCATTAGCACTGTTACAGCCATTCTG